AACTGAAATGATACTGTAGGTTATGATGTGCTTTTCGCATTCTATTCTATAACAATTTGGAATATTTCTCAGTTGCTATAGAAACTGTTGGTGGTAACTTGTCTGATTGGACATTTTTACACTAAAAGCTGGCGGTGGTTGGATTTACCTGACAATTCTACGTGTATTACATTAAACAGCAAACTAGCAAAAATGTGTTTGTACTGGACATAGAACATAATAACACAATCTGGTGCCCCCCAGTCAGGAGGGGGAGATTGGGCATGGCTGACCAATGGAGGCCACAAGGGTGTGTTTGGCTGACTAATGGACGCCATGAGGGTGTGTTTGACTGACCAATGGAGGCCATGAGGGTGTTGTTGGAATGACCAATGGAGCCCATGAGGGTGTTTGAGCTGACCAATGGAGGCCCTGAGGGTGTGTTGGGCTGACCAATGGAGGCCATTAGGGTGTTTTGGACTAACTAATGGAGGCCATGAAGGTGTGTTGGTGAAATATCTAATATTGTTAGCATATAAAAATAAAATTAGCAGCATTTGAACATAATGTGTCTCTTTTTTTCTCTCTGAATCCCACACCACCCACACAAACATATTAAAGGAACTTGAAATATCAAACATCTCTCCAACATTAAAAATTAACTACATAAAATAACATCCCATTAAGACCCATTTCAGACAGGTAGTCTGGTCAGGTCCACCTGTCTGTTTTTCAGATGGACCCGACTGGACCCTCCATTCTCTATGGGTAGTTGGATGAAAAACCTTATCTTCAGTAGCTGATTCATTTCACTGTTGGTGGAATTACTATACATTGTGCATTTTCTGGCTGAATGCTCTTAAGTCGGCCATATGTGATTGAAATTGGGCTGGTCCAGCATGGACCTGCTGAATTTTGATCCATGTATGACCCCTGTGGTTTTTGTACAGAAGTTGATCTACCAATAGACTTCTGTGCAACTGCCTTGTCAGAATTTCCTCGCTCAATCAGCAATGCTGAATAGAGTATTCTGTCGGTGGGGAACTTTCCCCAATGTCAGAATATAATAGCTCAACGGGAAGGATTTCCCAATCCATATCAAGTATGTGCATAGGGAAATCAAGTTAGATTTTTTTGATCAACCTGCTGTTTGAACAAAAAAAAAATGGCCTGATATATGGGCTGCTGTAGTCTATAGCAGCCTTTCTCAACTTTTTCAAAACAGAGGAACCCTTAAAAAACCTATTCGTTCTCAGGGAACCCCTGTTAAAAATTACTTTCTCAAAATTTTTCTAAAACTCATGATACATTAGGGGGGAAAAATTCTCCTTAAAAAACCCCCATATTCGGATCAATGGTGTCAGGGAACTAATCCAGAAATGTTAAAAAAGGACTAGCATAATCTGGACCCTATTACTATCCTGGTTTAATTTTAAGTATTTTCATCTTGGTCAAATGTTCTTTAACATCAAATGAAGGCTTTTTCTCTTTATTAGTGTCCGTGATGGTCAGGGGGGACAAATTTCGGGGTTGCACTTGTGGTCAAATTTTAAGGAATAAATGGATTGAGAGGAAAAAAAAAAAAAAAAAAAAAAAAAAAAAAGAGAAAAAAAAAGGGCTACCATCAAAAGTAAGGGGGGGAGATAGCTAAAAGGGGGTCATCAATGGTGTCGGAGTAGGGAAATAATCTGAGAGGCAGAATTATCATTCTTAGTAATTGCTTCAAGGAAATTTTCCTTTCAGAACTAAATTCTTCCATATTGGAGAAACCCAGGTAGGGTTCCATGGAGCCCTGGTTGAGAAACAACCTGGTCTATAGTTTTAAGTTATGATTTCACTGACACTTTTTGTTGGTCAAATGTTCTTTAATTATTTGTGGCTCTTCAGTCCTAAATGTTCTTAAGGCCAGTTTTTGCTGGAATTTTTATTATTAAATGTTAGAGAATGTTAAATTCGCCCTGCGGCAAGCAATACATAGAAATTGACATTTCACATATATTATGAAAATTACAACTATTATCTGTGACTTTTTGCGAATGCTGAGGCATTCCCAAAACAATTTTTTATAAACAGACCCTTAAAGCGGAGTTCCACCTGAAAAAAAAAATCAAAGTCAGCAGCTACAAAAACTGTAGATGCTGACTTTTAAAACACAGACACTTACCTGTCCCTCGGTCTAGCGGTGTCCTCACCACGGCTGGTTCTTCTCTCCTTGGCGCCAGCATCTTCAGTGTGGGCACCTGGCTGTGACAACTTGAGACTTCACAGCCGGGTGCCCACTGCGCATGTGCGAGAAGCGCTGCTCTTCGTTAATGGCCCTGTGGTCTTCTGGGACCTGTCATGTGTCCCAGAAGACTACGGGCAGGGAGGGGGGAGGACAACTTCCGCTTCCGATCACCTAGGCGATCGCAGCGAAAGTGGGAGCGGGTACCTGTCAAATTCGAGTACCCGCTCCCTTCTGCTCCCTCAAAGTGCCAATCCTTAATGGGGAGCGGGGAACAAAGGCTTAAAGTAGAACTACCCTTTTGGGTGGAACTCCGCTTTAAGTGTACAGTAAAAAGTTAATGCATATACACTGATACACTATATTACCAAAAGTATTGGGACACCCTTCCAAATCACTAGATGCAGGTATTCCAATCACTTCCATGGCCACAGGTGTATAAAACCACCTAGACATATAGACTGCTGCTACAAACATTGGTGAAAGAATGGGTCGCTTTCAGGGGCTCAGTGAATTCAAGTGTGGTACCGTGATTGGTTGCCACCTCTGCAATAAGTCCATCTGTGAAATTTCCTTGCTACTAAATATTCCACAGTCAGCTGTTAGTGGTAATATAACAAGGTGGAAGCAACTGGGATGAACAGCAACTAAGCCACGAAGTGGTGTGCCACATAAAATGACAGTGTGGGGTCAGCACATGCTGAAGCACACAGTGCTCAGAAGTCGCCAACTTTCTGCAGAGTCAATAGCTAAAGACCTCCAAACTTGTGGGGCCTTCAGACTAGCACAACAGTACATAGAGAGCTTCATGGAATGGATTTTTCATGGCCAAGTATCTGCATCCAAGCCTTATATCACCGAGTGCAATTCAAAGCGTCAGATGCAGTGGTGTAAAGCACAGCACCACTGGACTCTAGAGCAGCAGAGACATGTTCTCTGGTGTGACGAATCACGCTTCTCTGTCTGGCAATCCAATGGACGTGTCTGGGTTTGGCGGTTGCCAGGAGAAGGGTACTTGCCTGACTGCATTGCTCAAAGTGTAAAGTTTGTTGCAGGGGCGATTATGATGTAGGGTTGTTTTTCAGGGGTTGGACTTGGCCCCTTAGTTCCAGTGAAGGGAACTCTTAAGGCCTCACCATACCAAGACATTTTGGACAATTTCATGCTCCCAACTTTGTGGGAACAGTTTGGGGATGGCCCCTTCCTGGTCCAACATGACTGCTCACCAGTGCACAAAGCAAGGTCCATAAAGACATGGATAAGTGAGTTTGGGGTGGAGGAACTTGACTGACCTCAACCCAATAGAACACCTTTGGGATGAATTAGAGCGGACAGTGCAAGCCAGGCATTTTCGGCCGACATCAGTGCCTGACCTCACAAATGCGCTTCTGGAAGGATGGTCAAACATTCCCATAGACACCCTCCTAAAACCTTGTGGACAGCCTTCCCAGAAGAGTTGAAGCTGTTATAGCTGCAAAGGGTGGGCCAACTCAATATTGAACCCTACGGACTAAAACTGGGATGCCATCAAGGTTCATGTGTGTTTAAAGACAGGCATCCCAATACTTTTGACAATATACTGTACGTGTGTATACATGTGTATAATTACTGAACTCAAACATACAAATTTCTACTTTTATTTTACGTCTCTACTTTTATTTTATGGCGTGGGGTCCCCCCCCCCCAAATCCATACCGGACCCTTATCCAAGCATGCAGCTGTCAGGAAAGGGGGAAGGGACGAGCCACCTTCTGAACCATACCAGACCACATGCCCTCAACATTGGGGGGGGGGGGGGCCTCCTACCCCAAAGCATCTTGTCCCCATGTTGATGGGAACAAGGGCTTCTTTCCCACAACACTGGGCTGTGGTTGTGGGGGTCTGCAGGTGGGGGGCTTATCGGACTCTAGAACCCCTTTAACGAAGGGACCCCCCAGATTCTGCCCTCCCTCATGTGAATGAGGCTACATAGTCAAAAACTGGTGTTGTGTTTTTTTTTCACTTTTTAAATTTTTTTGAATGAGTAGGGGTACTCCTATGTACCCCTAAAAGTTCATAGCAGACCCAAAGGGCCTGGAATGGATTTTGGGGGACCCAACAAAGTTTTTTTTTCTGATTTTTTTATTGCCAGCAACTCCTTTCTTTCACATTTAGCTGTCAGTGGGGAAATCATTGAGAGCTGATGAGTCATCCGTTATTAAGGATGCGTCGGCCAGCATCCCGGCCCTCTCCTTAACAACCAGCTATTCTTGACACAGAATTCGGATCGGTCAATAAATTTTCGACTAATTCAAATCGGTCTGAAAATGTGGAATTCGCTAGAAAATTAATAAACAAAACTAAACAAATTCCGAAACAACTCCACAAAATGAAAGTAGTAACATGATGAATTTATCCAAAACTAAACAAATTTTTCTGTTCTGCACATAACTATCTGGAGCGCATGGACCAATGAAGACATGGTGAGTGAGGAGGAAGACCAAGGACAGTGCAAAGTCTTCATCTAAAATAACTGACAGCAGTAGCCACTAACTGAGTCTATACAGGAGAACTAAAGGGGGGAATCCACTTGTGAGAGAGCAATACCTGTGGTATGTCCTTGTGTGTACCTGTGGTATGTCCTTGTGAGTAAGGGTGGGAAACAAAGTATAGGAACATCTCATCTCTGGAGTCTCCAAGAGATATACGATGCTTAAAGGAAGCAAAGCCTGCCAAGTATTAAAATCTAAGATTTGACCAGAAATGGCTGTAGGAATGAATAGAGAATTCATTTACAGTATCAAGTCTGAAGGCTTACCTGACAAAGCATGCAGGTGAGTGCAGGAGACATATCCCACAATTCTTTGGTCCTGAGGAGTGGTCCCCACCTGCACCTACAAAATTAGACACACAACAATTTACTCATTTTATATTGCAGATAAATCAGCTTTCATTTCATTTGTATAGATGAACTCCCTTAGTCGTTTAAGCTCTCCTGGCAGCAGAAAAACGCTAAATAAGGCAAAAACGCGTGTAAATGCGGTACTGCGTTTCACCACGTTTAGTGCTTGGACATTTATTCATTCGATTGGCTAAAGTATTTTTCACTGACATGAATAAACATCTAAGTGCTAAATGCAGCTAGCCTTTAGACACATTTACATGCGTTTTTGCCACTTTTAGCATTTTTTGCCCAAAATGTTCCTGCAGAAGAATTGCGTTCAGGAAAGGAACGTTTAACTGCTCCTAAACTCTGGTAAAAGCCTATGTGTACATGGACACATAGGGGGTTATTTACTAAAACTGGAAAGTTCAAAATCTGATGCAGCTTTGCCTAGGATCCAATCAGCTTCTAGGTTTTATTGCCAAAGCTTAACTGAACAAGCTGAAGTTAGAAGCTGATTGGCTACCATGCACAGCTGCATCAAATTCTGAGTGCTCCAGTTTTAGTAAATCTCCCCCATAGGCTTTTATTGAGTTGAGTTCAGGGGCTTTGGTAAAAAAAAAAGCCAGCAGTGTACATAAGGCTTAACTAAACTCTGATGACAATTAGGCCTCATGTACACATAAACTCCCCTAGACGTTTAGGTCTCCTGGCAGCAGAAAAATGCTAAACACGGCAAAAACACATGTAAACGTGGTACCATGTTTAGCTACGTTTGGCACTTGGACGTTTCATTTGATTGGCCAGAGTATTTTCCATTGACATGGATAAATGCCCAAGTGCTAAATGCGTTTAGCCACGTTTACATGTGTTTTTGCCACATTTAGTGTTTTTGGCCAAAATGTTCCCCTCCTGAACACGAATATTCTGCATTCAGAAGAGAAACGTTTAACTTCCCCTAAACTCTGCTGCTCCTAAACTCTGGTAAAAGCCTATGTGTACATGGACACATAGGCTTTTATTGAGTTGAGTTCAGGGGCTTTGGCAAAAAAATGCCAAACCCTCTTAAACTCACATTTAGGAGCAGCAGTGTACACGAGGCCTTAGTTTGGTAAAGAAATATGCATCATAAACATTTGAAACATTGTGTATTATACGCATTTGCAATTGGTGTTTAGAAAGCTCCAAACGTAGGCACAGACCAGGTCCAATGAGACAATAGTAGGTGGCATTGCAGAAAACATTTTAAATAGCAGCTCCTACTAGAGGGAGAACATTAGAGATATTGTATGGTCCAATGGGGGCCCCCCCTACTGGAGGGTGGTTATCCTGCAAAACAACTAAAAAAACAGAACTAACAAATGTATCTTTTGGGCTATGCATATATAAGGTCTGTCCAGAAAGTATCCAGCATTGTAATATAATATATTGAGAAATGTATTAAATAAGATACAAGAAACACTGTACATAGGACAACGACACCTCAGTCCCCTTCAAGGTAGGCACCTAGGGACCTCACACAGTTCTCCCAGCATCTCTTCCATTGTTCAAAACAGTATCATTTCAGTCGGTGATCTTTGTTGATGCAGCCCTACAGAACATTCTCTAGTGTTCACTTTCCCCTCCAGATTATCACTTTCCATAGACCATCTTTGAACTGCACTCATTGCATCCCCAAAAGCCTTCTGAATAATCCAAATGTTCAAGCTTAACACAAAATTTGATGCAGATTCATTGCTCTACTCACTCAGTCATTTTGAATGTGACTGCCACAATAGTACATATGCTCACTCAATAGCGTCAAGCGCCCCCACCGACTAGTACAGTGAAGTCATCATTGTTCACGCATGAGCATTCCAGTCCACTCTCCATCGCTCCCAGGTTACATCAATGCTGTGCAAACTGTTCTCATTATATTAACAATGGCTGGACGGACCTTGTGTGTGTGTGTGTATATATATATATATATATATATATATATATATATATATACATACATATATATATATATATATACACAGTGCAAGAAAGCAAAGTGTTATTTCTGCAGTGTTGTCACATGAAAAGATATAATAAATTATTTACAAAAATGTGAGGGGTGTACTCACTTCTGTGAGATACTGTATGTATATATATATATTTCTAAATATACAGTATCTATTCATGTGACAACACTGCATAAATGACACTTTGCTACAGTGTGACGTAGTGAGTGTACAGCTTGTATAACATGTAAATTTGCTGTCCCCTCAAAATAACTCAACACACAGCCATTAATGTCTAAACTGCTGGCAACAAAAGTGAGTACACCCCTAAGTGAAAAATTTCCAAATTGGGCCCAAAGTGTCAATATTTTGTGTGGCCACCATTATTTTCCAGCACTGCCTTAACCCTCTTGGGCATGGCGTTCACCAGAGCTTCACAGGTTGCCACTGGAGTCCTCTTCCACTCCTCCATGACGACATCACGGAGCTGGTGAATGTTAGAGACCTTGCGCTCCTCCACCTTCCATTTGAGGATGCCCCACAGATGCTCAATAGGGTTTAGGTCTGGAGACATGCTTGGCCAGTCATCACCTTTCCCCTCAGCTTCTTTAGCAAGGCAGTGGTCTTCTTAGAGGTGTGTTTGGGGTCGTTATCATGTTGGAATACTTCCCTATGGCCCAGTCTCCGAAGGGAGGGGATCATGCTCTGCTTCAGTATGTCACAGTACGTGTTGGTTTTCATGGTTCACTCAATGAACCGTAGCTCCCCAGTGCCGGCAGCACTCATGCAGCCCCAGATCATGACACTCCCACTACCATGCTTGACTGTAGGCAAGACATACTTGTCTTTGTACTCCTCACCTGGTTGCCACCACACATGCTTGACACCATCTGAACCAAATCAGTTTATCTTGGTCTCATCAGACCACAGGATGGTTCCAGTAATCCATGTCCTTAGTCTGCTTGTCTTCAGCAAACTGTTTACGGGCTTCCTTGTGCATCATCTTTAGAAAAGGCTTCCTTCTGGGACGACAGCCATGCAGACCAATTTGATGCAGTGTGCGGCGTATGGTCTGAGCACTGACAGGCTGACCCCCACCCCTTCAAAATCTGCAGCAATCCTGGCAGCACTCATATGTCTATTTCCCAAAGACAACCTCTGGATATGACGCTGAGCATGTGCACTCAACTTCTTTGGTCGACCACGGAGAAGGCCTGTTCTGAGTGGAACCTGTCCTGTTAAACCACTGTATGGTCTTGGCCACCGTGCTGCAGCTCAGTTTCAGGGTCTTGGCAATCTTCTCATTGCCTAGGCCATCTTTATGTGAAGCAAAAATTCTGTTTTTCAGATCCTCAGAGAGTTCTTTGCCATGAGGTGCCATGTTAAACTTCCAGTGATCAGTATGAGAGAGTGAGAGCAATAACACTAACTTTAACACACCTGCTCCCCATTCACACCTGAGACCTTGTAAAACTAATGAGTCATATGACACCAGGGAGGGAAAATGGCTAATTGGGCCCAATTTGGACATTTTCACGTAGGGGTGTACTCACTTTTGTTGCCAGCAGTTTAGACATTAATGGCTGTGTGTTGAGTTATTTTGAGGGGACAGCAAATTTACACTGTTATACAAGCTGTACACTCACTACTTTACATTGTAGCAAAGTGTCATTTCTTGTGTTGTCACATGAAAAGATAGAATCTTCTGGGAGATACTGTATATAAGTGTGTAACCCTCTACTGCTCCTTTCTCCTCAGTTGTCCCCCATTTTGGTCTGATGTATAGACTTCTATCAATTATTTAAAGAAGGGCCAGCTTGGACCAAAGTAACTATGTAAAAATATTCATACCTGGAATTTAACTACAAAAAATATTATACTACATCAAATGTATAAATTATTGCATTTGCTACCAGTATAAAGGAAAAAGTGTAGGCAAAAAACCCCTGTGGAGTTGACCAATGATCTACAGGTAACTTGAGGAGTGGCAGGGATGTGTCTTTGTTCTAAAAGGTGTCCCTATTTTTCATCTCAGCTGTGTTGGGAGGTATGCATTCTATTTTAAATACTAATATCTGTCATTAATGCACCTCTTAAAATGATGTAAAGTTTAACAAATACACTATTAAACCCGAGAGGCAGGGTACTGTTATTGGAATCATTGTAAGATGCAAAATATCATCAGTCTGGCAGTGCAGGTCATCCTGCTGTTTATGACAATATCACAAGGCAATAAATTATGATGGCCCTCTGCAGGGACTGAGTTATGAACAAAGACATTGATTAAATATTGTTCTGTTCTGTCTAGACTCTTAGTGCTCATACGTGTCTAAAGAATACATGAATTTAAACCAAGTCCACTGAAAACTGATTTTATTAGTTTATTAGTGGTCACTAACAAATCACATCCCTTCTTGGCCTATTGCAGTATTTCTTGCAGAAAATTTGTTGCAGAAATCTCCAATCAAAAATGTACAGAATACTCAACAGTGTACAATAAATTAATACAGGAAAACACATTTTTGTAAGGATTTAAAGATGCAAAGAACTCTTGAAGTCAGAGTCCCGAAGAGATATAAGAGGCTAGTGCATCCTTTCTCAACCTTTTCGACACAGAGGATCCCTTGAAATAACTTTCTGGAGTCAGGGACCCCCTGCTGAAAAATATTATATCTACACCTGATGATAAATTTGTGTGCTGGTCACTAGGAAAATGCTCCTTACCATTGTGGTCGTTGGAAAGAAATACCCCCTTACAGATAGCTACAATAATCAATGGTGTCAGCGGGAACTTATCTGAGAGGCAGAAATCAGTCATTGCTCAAGGAACCCCTAGCAACCTCTGGAGGAACCCTAGGGTTTCATGGAACCCTGATTGAGAAACCCAGGGCTAGAGGGTCAGTAAAATCACCCCACCCAAGGCTATAACAAGTTTTAGGGAAGATAGTCTTTAATAATATGCTGCACTGAAAAAAAACATATACTATATTGTAGCAACCAAGTACAAACTAGATTTCTTCAGTCT